AATGTGATTAGGAGAAATTAGATTTAAAATAAAAATAAGAGAAATAATAAGTTTTGGTGTATAATTGAATTATTAGAATTAAATAATTAAAAATAGAGGAAATCAAATTTATTAAGAGGAGCAAGAGCAATATGGGAAGTAGGAGAGCAAGTTGAGGATGATAAGGGAAATGAAATAATTAGGGGATTAAGTTTGTCTTAAATAGAAAAAGTGAGGGCTAGACCTTTTTACACAGCTTGTTATTTTAGAGAACAGGAGAGAAAAAAACAAGAGAGGCAACCTAGGGTTTGGGAAGAAAACTCCACTGTTGAGGAGCTTAGGAATTGCATTGCTGAAAATCTAAGGTAAGGGGGGAGATTATTCTTCTATGGGTGTATACTGTATAAAGGGTAAAAAGGGATCATCACCCTCCTCTAGGTTTTTCTTTTGATTTTATCAATGTTGATTTGTTCATGTGTTCTTGATGAAAATTATGTCAATTGTGCGTCTAATTGTTATGATTCATGATTTAATATGTGCATTATAACATGTTTAATTGTGATGGGATTATTATATGCTGTTAAATTCATGATATGATGTGCTTGGATGTTATAATGAAAATTGGTTTAATGTATGTGGGTTAGGGATGGGAAAGATGAATTCATGATATGATGTGTTTAGATGTTATAATGAAAATTGGTTTGATATATGTGGGTTAGGTAATGTGGATGATGAAATTAACCTGTTGAAAATTGGGATTTTTAGGATTTTGGTTGATGTCAATCGATTGATATGTTATACCAGATAACTAAGGCATGGTTATTTTGGTAATTTGAGTGTGATTTTTGAGTGTGTTCTGATTCACACGTATGTATTATCCATGGAAGGATATTTTGGGAAATTATGTTTTGAAAAATTATGATGTTTTCTGAAAAAGGATTGTCGAGCCTTTTTAGGAAACTTTATATTTTATTCCTATTTTTGTGCAGGAAATTGTGCTTGTGATTCCAAGCTGATTCCTGATGAATTGCGCCTCAAGAAGCCCAAGTCTAGTAGGTTTGAAGGCTATTTAAAGAAGACTTAATCTTAATGTAACGACGACTTTCACTTGTGTAAAAACTATGAGAAGTTTTAGAAACTTAGGTTTTGAGAGTCTCTTGTGTGTGACTGTGTAAGTCATCCTTTGTATCTTTTGATGCATCGTGGTAGACATATTGTTGTTGTATGTTGTTCTCACTCTGAAGCTTTTAAGCAATGGAGTTGAGTATTGTTCTTGGTTGAAGTTGTGAAGCAAAACCGAGTATTGTATTTGGTTAAGAGCCTTGACCTTGTATTGTAGTAGAAAGGGGGTAAATCTTTCTTTTTGGTGGCATGGTCATTGGGATTATGACTGCTTGTTAGGAAGTGAGAGGGGGATCTCATATCTAGATGGTGATTTCTATGTAGAAGTAGCATAAGGCAGTGATTAGGAAAAAAGTTGAAAACTGGCGAGTTTAGCTTTAAACTAATGTTATCATAGTGGATTTTCTTCCTGGCTTGGATGCCCCCAGATGTAGGTGAGTTGCACCGAACTAGGTTAATAATTCATCGTATTATTTATCATTCTGCAATTTATAATTTCTGTGTAATTAAAGACTGATAATGTTGTTTCTGTCAAACTTAAGATGTCACAACATCTGTCTTGACATTGTACTTTGATGTTGGAACATCATAATCTCCATCATGTGTACCATGTGCTAGAAAATTTCAACCCCTAAGTAAGATCCATGTCGCCCTTTGGGGCAATCAAATCACTAAATTCCCATAAGTGATTCTTATCAGTCCCCCTCACTGGGGAAGCGATAGGTATACCCCTAGTGAAGGGTCGAAAAACAATCATACAAAAATGGCTATGGAGAAAAATGGTAAATAATGATTAGTATTAAAGACGCCAAAGGGGCGCCACTATCTTAACGATTACAAAAATCCCTCGAAGGGGCGCCACTATCTTAACGATTACAAAAATCCCTCGAAGGGGAAAGGAAAAATAATGAAAGGCCACCAAGGGCCAAGAAACTTTACAAGAGAACCCAAAGCATCAACTCTCATCCTAAAATTCCTCATTCTTGATGGTATCCTTTGGCTAAAGAGCCTCAGACTCACCTTTTTCTATCGTCACGCCATCAACCTGTGTGTCACGGGCGAGAGCAAACCTTTAGGCTTTGGAAGGGCCACCTTATATTCATCCATTAACTAGCCATGTTGTCCGTAGATATTAACACACCATCATAGTGACGTTCTCAATTTAATCAAGAGGTAAACAAAGAAGGATTGGAGTGTGCAGTGAATTTGGTCGATAAATTGAGAGAAGTCACCCATGTCTGAGAATTCTCCTCCAACATATAGCCACTAGAAGGATATGCGAGAAGGCGGTCTGGTCTTAAAGTAAGTAATTTTTCCTACACAACAGAGAAAACTACAACCTAACTGGGAGGGACCCTATCACATATTCCAAAAGCTTTCTCGTGGAGCGTATAAGTTGGAGTAGTTAGATGGACATCTCAACCGAAAACGTTGAACGCCCTCCATCTTAAATATTACTACAGTTAAATTATTTTTATTTCTTAAGACATAATTATTGACCTGTTAGTAGTTTATTGAATGTTTATGAACAACAAGAATATTTTCTCAATATTTTGTGCGCTGAACTTTTACTGGAAGATCATTGTTGCCTCTTAAGGCAATATTATAAATGTTGGACCTTCACATGAAGATCCTTGCCGCTCTTAAGGCAATATTATGAATGTTGGACTTCCACAAGAATATCTTTGTCGCATCTTAAGGAAATATTATGAATACTTGACTTCCACGTGAAAGTTGTTGTCATCCTTCGTGGCGATACGAATAGGCCTAACTAAACTCCTCGTCTGAAAGACTTAGAATTTGCTCGGGCAAAACCACACATGCATATCTCACCCTAGAGGTGCGATTGAAGTCTAGCCTAATAGACTCAGTTAAAAGTTTTGTTTAAGTGCTTGATAGAAGTCCCGCCTAAGAGTTTCAACGTCTTGCCTAAAAGACTTATACTCTCACCAGCCATGGTCAATACAACCTTGCATGTGTGACTAAGAGTTCCCATCATGCATGCTATCTAATTTCTCACCCAAGGGACTTAGAGTTTCCTCCGGCAAGATCCAATATATAAATCTTGCCTAGAATGCGTTATTAAAGTCTAGTCTAAGAGAGTTAGTTAAAAGTCTTATCTCAATGCTTGATAGAAGTCCCGCCCGAGAGGTCCAACGTCTTTCCTGAGGGACTTATGGACTCAACAATAGGCTCGACGTAACTTCACCAGAGATCCTAAAACCTAGTCGATCTGGTTCATCGTACATATTGCCAAGAATTTTAGAAACTTAGGGCTTTAGGATACTCCAATTCTCTATGATCTAAAATAATTTTCCCTTCATCAAAAGTCCATGTGCTTGAGGGACTATGTAATGTGATAGTTGTAAAGCCTCTGATAAATGTGGGTGCTTTGCAGCCCTTAGGAGATGCGATGAACATATGTCTCCCTATAGAAGATATCGCCTTGCCGCAAGTTCCCCACTCGCCCAATTATGAGAAACATGGGAAAAGACGCTCCTTGGTAAAAAAAGAAGTCACACTACTACAAAATATATCTTTCTTAACATGTTATTATCTCAGCTATTCAATCAACCAAAGTAATAAATAATATTTAGGTGTTTGCATTTTTTTTATTCTATTAAAAGACTTTTCACAACAATCCTTAATAATAGTCGTAGTAAAAAGTCAGAAGGTGTCACTTTTAACCACGATTAGAATTTCAACCGTGGTGAAAAGTGGCGTCTAGTCATGGGTTCAAATCTCATCACCAACATTTTTTATTTATTACTTATTTTTAATCCACTTTTCACCGCAGTTGGAATTACAATGGCGATGAAAAGTGGCATCTGGTTATGGGTTTGAATCCCAACACTAACATTTTTTATTTTTTACTTATTTTAAAGTCCTTTCTCACCACGGTTGAAATTTTAACCGTTGTAAAAAATGGCGTCTTTTTATTTTTTTTAAAGATATATAACGTTTTTTGTTCATTCACTTTTGCCTTAGACGTATTTAGTCAAACTTCATCTTCTGCCTCCAAACTTCTTTCATTTGCAAAACATTATTCCTCCACTAAAGCAAACATGAAACATCATTTCTTCCATAAACAAAACTAAAGAACATTTCTTCCATTAACGAGTTTCAGAACTCCATTGTCTCTTGTCCAAATTGAACGAGGCATGAAAAAACATGAATTCAATTTATCAATGTTAGTTGTTGTTGTTGTTTCAAGTAAGATGTTCTTGTTTAACAATTCTATTTATTTATTTTGTTCTTGTTGTTTTTATTGTTATTGTCGTTCTTGTTGTTATTATTGTTCCTGTTGTTATTTTTGTTGTTGTTATTGTTGTTCTTGTCGTTGTTGCTGCTGCTGTTGTCATTGTTCTTGTTGTTTTTCTATTGTTGTTGTTGTTTTAAAAATATTTAATATTATATATTGTGATGAAAGTTATCATTGTAATCAAACAAAACATGTGACAAAAATAAAAAATTGGATTGATTGACATTTCACCGTAATTTTTTTTTACCGTTATAAAAATATTACACACATATATATTTTTTACAACTAGAAACTCTCAAATTATTAGTGATATTTTTTGTTAGGAGAGATTCAAATAATATTTGAATTTTCTTCCAATATCGATACAGCTAAAGTTTTACATAGGGAACATCGAAACAGCTAAATTTTACATACTATCTTCATCTTAAAAAGAACAGACAAAATGGCAAGTGAATGCGTGGCAGTCTCACATGAGCGTGAGTGCTTATGTGTCAGTTTCTGGTAATCACAGCAAACCACGTAGCTCTCGTTCCCGCATAAACCCATACCGTGATGATACCATATATGATCTATCATCTATCTGCACACTGCATAACAAAGATCCAAAGAAAATCATAACATCTCAATTTCATAGTTCATGGCGGCGGCGGCGGCGGCGGCGGTAAGATCACCGGCGACATTAATGATGATATTGATGGCAGCATGCATAGTGTGCAGTACAGCGTCGTACAGGCCTCGCATGGTGGGTGGTAAAACAGAGATCGCAAACGTGAGGACAAACAAGGAGGTACAGGAGCTCGGAAGATTCGCGGTGGAGGAGTTTAACCGGAGTGTGAAAGTACGGAAAGAAGGGGAAGGGGAGCTTAGGTTCGTGGAGGTTGTGGAGGCGCAGCAACAAGTGGTTTCTGGAATCAAGTACTATATGAAAATATGGGTTACGCAGGCGAAGAATGATGGTGCTGAGAGTGAGGATTCGGCGATGTTTGATTCGGTGGTGCTGGTTAAGCCATGGCTTTCTTCCAAACATCTTCTCCACTTTGCCCCTTCTTCCCAATGATCATTAATAATTATGAAGCTTTCTTAGTTATTAGCAGTTCAATAATGGTATGTTATGTGATATACATTAGCACTAGAAGTTCTACCATGGCATCCATCATGTACTAAATCAATTTTCAAGTATGTTAATACAATCTCTATCAATCAATTTAAATAATTACTCCCTCTGATTATCATAAGAGTAATATCTATCATACTTATATGGATTCATTTACTATAAGAGTAATATCCATCATATTTATATGAATTTTTTCATATAAGAATTTTAAAATGTGTCATATCAAATCACACTAATTTTCTTAATTATATTGGATGATGGTGCAAAATCAGTTTAAATTAATATTGCAATGTCATTTAATTATCCAATTGACAGAATAGCATAAAAAACTAATTTAGTTATCCAACATCTGACACAATAGCATAAAAAAAAAAAAACTATATAGGAACTTTTTAAATTTTACCAATAGAGGGGAATCTTGACGGACTATCATTTTAACCTTCTTCAATTGTCTCTCTTATTTAACCTTGAAAGAAGATCTTTATCATTTTCTTTTTTCTTGTCCTTTTGTTGTTAAGTGTGGGAAGTAATTGAAGGGTGGCTAGTGATGGAGCATATTGTGGAAGATTTAATCATTAATCATGCGGAAAAATTTCTGTCAAAATGAAGGGTAAAGCAATTAACAATAATACTTGTGGCATCGGAGAAACAAAGTCATTTTTATTAACAATTTCGTGTTGGATTGTAATAGGGTTGAAGAATAGATAATTGGTAGAGAAATCTATTAGAATACCTTAAATTTGTGAATCAATTTACTTATTGAAAAAAAAATCTATAACATATTGCAATTTTAAATAGCCTACATAATAATAATTTACCAATAATAATTTACCAATAATTATGCTCTAAGATTTTACACTTTTAAATAGTCTACGTAATAATAAAATAATAAAAGTAGATAATTAAAAAAATAGTAATCATTTTTATATTGAAAAATAAATTTTTTAATATATATATATATATATATATATATATATATATATATATATATATATATATATATATATATATATATATATTTGAGTGGGTCCAAACCTGTCTATCCATCAGGTAAGGCTCAAATTCCACAGTGTCGGCCATGGGTTTAGACATACAGGGCAGGCACTCTCCTCGTCGAACAGAACAACACGTTTTTCACGTGCTCCTCCCGCGGGAACACGTTATCAGGCAACTACCCACCTTCAAAAGAGTAAGTCAGCCTATCTTTCGAAGATCACAAAACAGTTGATCTAAGGCGAAGACCACGTGCTGGTCTTCACTACGCCACGTCAGCCCTAACAGTCACTTGGGTTGGACCTGGCCATCCAGCCCAACGCAGGTGACCGTTGACCCTGCGTCGGGGTCTCACTATAAATACCCTCTTTTAGAGGGTCAGGTATTCAATTATCTATACCTAACTTCTATATTTGCTCCCACTCTGGTCCCTTACTCACTTAAGTATCAGAGCGCCTTGTATGTACACCCCCTCCTCCTCCCTACCTCCGGTGAGCAGCTTTCAGATCGACGACGCATGGCGCCCCAACAATCTCTTCTGATCAGGTACGATCAATGACACCGTCTGTGGGAAACTAAAGCTTCCCCGTTCCTCCTAGCAGAAGAACCAAAACTTCCAACTTCAACTTTCGAGATCATGACTAGCCCACGTCACGATGATGTTACCCACAATTCCGCTTTCACTCCAATCACCAACGGCGGCGACCAGGCTGGGCCATCCCACGCCCGTGAGGGTGACGTGAGGGACGGACGGACTGCCTCCCCTTCGTCCGAGGACGCGGCACATCACGTCACACCTCGAGCACCAGCTGGCGCGGACCCAACAATGACTGCCCTCTTCGCAGCCATAAACCAAACCAATCTGATGTTGTTCCAATATAACGAGCACATCGGTATGCTGGAACAAGATACCCCGTCTCGCTCTCCCCCGCGGAGAAATCAACGCGAAGACTCTCGGAACCCCTCTTCTCGTCAACGGGGGTGTCGACCACAACTGGAGAGGCCCCAGCCGGGGGCCTCTAAGAAGAGCGTCCGATCACCTCCCCGAAAGGAGAGGAGTTCCTCGGTCCCAAGAGCGAACAGACCGGAAGCCCCAGACAAGAGGTTGAGAGGACGCAATCAAGCCCTCGGCACAACCCTTCGCCCTCGCGCTCCCTAGTTTGCAGTGACGAGGATGATTACAGGACCCCTCTTTCACGGCAGATCATGGAAACCCCCATACCCCATGGGATGGAGAAGCCACCAGTACTCTTCACGTATGACGGCACCTCGGACCCGGACGACCACCTGGAAGATATCGAGGTCATGCTCGACTACAAAAACATTCGAGGAGCCATCAAGTGCAGACTCTTCCTGACGACGTTAAGGAAGGGAGTCATGGCTTGGTACAAAATCCTGGAGCCTGAGTCCATCACGTCGTGGAGGGTCCTAAAGGATCTCTTCTCGCAACATTTCACGGCGCCCCGACGCCATCCGAAGACGGAAGCCGCCCTGGACACAATCATCCAAGCCCCGGACGAGCCTTTCAGAAACTACATCGAGAGATTCACGAGGGAAGCGGTCCAAGTAACGACTTTAGACGACATGAAGCATTACCTCATGGAGCAGGGCCTACGTCGTGGCTCCAAATGCTACGAGGCCGTGGCGATCCACCGACCAACCACCCTGTGAGGCTTCCTCGAGAAAGCTCGCCACTACATCCGGTACGAGGAGACCGAGACTGTTAATTCTGCCCGGGACTCTCGTAACCGTGAAACCCCCCGTAGGTCTCGAAAAGAGGGAGCTCCAACCCCCCAGCGTGGGGGAGACCGACGACGAGACAATCGTCCCCGGAGCCCCGAGAGCAGAAGGGCTCCGATGGCCGCTTCATCGAATACACATCTCTAGTCACTTCCCGCGAGCGCATGCTGGCTAAGTGCGCCAACTCAGAGTTCGTCCGGGGAGGTGTTCGTTTTCCCAAACCGGCACCCCCAAGGAGAACGTGGACAAGTCCAAATATATATGCTTCCATCGGAGCCACATGCACGTCACGGAGGATTGCATCCACCTGAAGGACGCAATCAAAATACTCATCAAGGATGGTCACTTGAAGAGATACACTAGGGGAGGAAATGCCCCTCGAAAGGAGACCCACGAAGCCAAAAAAGTCGAGGACATCCCTCCTCCCTCCAACGAATTCGAGCTGCAGGTGGCCCTCAACATAAGTCGGTCTGAGGACTGGTTCTCCCTAACAGAACACAATCTCCCTACCGGACACCCGCTGCCCGAAGAGACAATATGCCTCATCAGCTTGTGGGAATACTTCCCCACCGCGATGGTCATCTCAGGCGGGGCCCCGAACAAGCTCTTCATTGGGTCTGTGAAGAGGAAGTTTGACGAGCCGATGAGCAACAGCTCCAGAAAAATGAGCACGCTCGAAAAATTTCACGGTCAGTCTAACCCGATCTTGTATTATCTCGAAGAGCTTCCCGAAGGATCCCCCAACTCCGCCATTCCCCTGCTAATTCGGGCACAAATGGCAAACTTCGACGTCCTCCGCATTCTGGTCGACGGAGGGAGTTTGGTGGATATCATGTATACCCATCTATTCTCGACGCTGCAGTTCGACGAGACCAACCTAACCCCCTATGTCGGCTCCAACCTCCAGGGGTTCAACGGAACAATGAAAAGACTGTGGGAATACGTGGAGCTCAAGGTCACTTTCGGGGCACAGGAAACGGCCAGGGAAATCAACGTCCGCTTCCTGGTCCTCGAGTGCCCATCCTTGTATAACTGCATCTTAGGTAGGATAATGCTGGCAGAGCTCACCGCGGTACCATCGACAGTACATCTAAAGATGAAGTACTATACCAGGTTGGGAGCCATCGTCACCCTCAACAGGGACATAGAAGCAACCTAGAGGTGTTTTGAGGAAGCAATGAAGGGCCTCAGCATGATCAGCATCCTACCAAAGCGACCGAGCCTCTCTTCCTCCAGAAGAACAGGCCAAAGGACCACGTCGACGCCGTGGACCTCGACTACCGCTTCCCCGACGAACAGGAACACAAGGACGAAGCCGAGCATGCTCCTTCAACGGTAAACGGGCAGCTCTTCCACCCAACGTGCCCCATTCCAGACGGGGACTTCGAGATAGTAGTCCTCGACGAAGATGCGACAAGGAGCGTGAAGATTGGAGCATGATTGCCCGACCTGGTGAGGAAGCAGCTGAAGGCCTGCCTCTGTGAGAACGTCGACCTCTTCGCCTGGAGCGCCGCTGAGATGCCCAGCCTTGACTCCGATGTCTCCTGCCATCAGCTCTCCGTCAACCCAGCCGCAAAGGCCATAGTATAACATAGACATATGCAGTCCCCCGAAAAGTCGGCGACGGCTGAAAAACTGTAAAAGACCTCCTAGAGGAAAATTTCATTTCGGAAGCCCGGTATTCAACCTGGCTATCCAACGTTGTACTTATTAAAAAGTCAAATGGAAATGGAGAATGTGCGTTGATTACACCGGTCTCAACCGGGCTGTCCCAAGGACGCCTATCCCCTCCCCAATATCCACAAGCTCGTCGACAACTCGGCGGGCTTCAAATTGATGTCCTTCACGGACGCCTACTCGGGATACAACTAGATCCCCATGGCCGAGGTCGACAAACAGAGCACGACTTTCATGATCGAGTCGGGAAATTATTACTACAACGTAATGCCCTTCGGCCTAAAGAACGTCAGCGCCACCTATCAACGAATGATGAACAAAGTCTTTTGGGGAGAGATTTGCGACACGCTCGAAGTCTACATGGACGACATGATCGTCAAATCGCGCACTAAGGTCGACCACACGGCCCACCTCAAGAAGGTCCTCGAGACAGCGAGGAAGTGCAGGAAGCGATTTAACTCAGACAAGTGTGCCTTCAGTGTACGCGCGGGGAAGTTTCTTGGGTTTTACTTGACCGAACGAGGGATCGAGGA